ACCTTGACCTGCTCTGTGATGGACTATAACCACTGCAGTCACACAGTGGACTGGCTGAATGAAGGTAGAGAGGAAACGTCACACATGGAGGAATCGGATCCGTCCTGCTCTGCTAATCTAACGATTCCAGCATCTGAAATGAACAGGAAGGAAAATCGGTCTGAAGTGTTAAAGTGTAAAGTTACAAATATTTACACTAAAAAAGTGCAGCTGGTCGCCTTCAGGATTAAATCGTCTTCTGGGAAAAAAGGTGAGAATCAATCTGAAAACAACAGCTGAAGGATTTGGATTGAAGCAAACTAAAAGTGAAATGAGAAAACGAGCCATTATCCGATTTCAGATTTTGATTTAATAAACAAAACAATGAGTCTGTTTTTGTTTTTAATTTTTCATTTCGAATGAAAAAATGAACTGCCAGAAAATACATGGACCATGATAGTTCATCTAGTACTGAACAAAAGGAAAATTATTGTATTGTTTTCTTCAGATAAAGAATCAGCAACGACAACACAACCCGTCCCCACAGCAACTGTCTCCACAGAAGAATCAAACATCTGGACGACCAAGAAATTAAATTCATCTGCAAACGTCAACAGTTTCTCAGAAACTGCAGGTAGAAACTGAATCATTTGAATCGCAGAGGCTGAATGTTTGATCCTTTATGTGAAACAATGATAATAACTAATAATTGTTCTGTCAGGATGGGTTTGGTCGCTCGTTTTCCGTCCTGTGTGTTTGGCAGCGATGATAGTAACTGTTCTGGTCGTCATCAGATGGACGAAAACTAAAGGTGGAAACTTATTTTCTTCACTGAAAATTTGTCTTTGTGGTGTAAATATTTGATTGAAAAGAAAAGAAAAAAAGAATGATCATATCAGGAGAGTTATTTTATAAAAACAGTTAAACAGGTCATTATTCCTGAACATGATCCTTCTTAGAAAACAGAGGAAAAAGGTTTTCACTGTAAAAACTGAACCTAAATGTTCTGTTTCTTTTCAGGAAAAGAAGAAGAAAGTGAAATGAATGGATGATTAACTCATTATGTTGTTATTTTTCATCCATTTCTGGGTCCATGTGGTAAAAAAAAGGAAAATGTGTCACAGCCTGATTTATTTTTGTAATTTTTGAAGATTAGAAAGACAAGAGAGCATGACATTCAAGTCATGCTGATTATTATTGATCCTCAGAGGTAAAAACAACCTAAACAATGACTCTAATAAATGCAGCTTCATTGACATTCAGAATAATAATTAACATTTTTATTTAAAGTACAGTTATGACAGACGAGGCTCCATTCAGAGCAAAGTAAACTAAATAATCTATAATGTTTACATTTAGAGAAGAGTGACACTTTTCTCATTTAAATTGTTTTGAAGCTTTCAAGAGTCGAGTCAGAAACAGATCCAGATAAGTGGGAGGCAGGTGAAACTAGAGACATTTTAACTTAAAGAAACTGAGGAAAACAATGACGGTTGATCACTGACCAAGAATTTGGCATGAGGAAAGTCAAGTAACTGAGGTAAATGTGCAAAATAAGTTATTGTGAGAAAGGATTTGTTACAATTTTGATTTATTTTAATCACATTTTTCTGTATTTTTGCTGTATGCAAAGCACCAGATGTATCTACTGTGACCTTAGTAAATAAGTGATTTTACATGTTTAATAAGTTAAATAAATAATTTTATGATTAGAAAAGAGGCAAGAAAACACCTTTAGTTCAGATAAATGTAAATGGACAGATTGCAGAATCAGAGAATCCATTTGAACCGTCTCTGCTCACTAGAGCCCTCTAGCGGACAAAACCATAAAGACTCACTGTGTATGTTGCACTCTGTTTTATGAATTAAATATAATATTTTTTGTAAAATATTCTTGAATAAAATTGAAGGTTTAATCACCATATCTGTAAATGTTTTATTGAAGAGAATATCTTTGAACTCTTATGGTTTCACACATAGAGAAGAAAACGGCTGATGAGTTTCCATAACGTCAGACATGCAGAAGTTTATATCTAAAAAAAAGTCCACCAGAGCAAACCAGGTGCTGCTGATGTTAAAACACTTAGATCTGAAAGAGACAGGAACTAAAACCTCCAACAACGTCCCCTTTCTCATGACGTTTGATGTTAAATTCATCCTGATGTGCGAAGAAGAAAAAACGTTGCAACGGTTTTTATTCATAGATTTGGCTGCTTAGTGAAACTAACACCTCACTGACCACAGATAAAGTCATAGAGTTGTTTTTGAGATATACTAGTTTGTGCGGGAAAAACCCAAAGCTGCACAACAAAACTTGCAAATATAATCCAAGCGATGACTGCAGTCAGTATTTTTTTACTTTTTTTGCAGAGAGATGAAAAAACAAAGTTCAGATGTTGGACAGAGCATGAAGTCATGATGAGGAGGAAACGCCTCTCAAACCACAGAGCCTCATATTTCACATGTTGCCTCTTTAGACTCTCAGTCATTTCTGATTGTCTGCAAGAGACACAGGAGCGATGATCACTGCTAGAGAGACACAAACATCTTTATTTGTAGCGCTGATGCTTTACTTAACAGGTAAGAATATTTTAATTTCTAAAGTAATTTAAAACTGATTTAATAAGAACTAAATGCTTCCTTTTCTCAGACACTCATGTTTATTGAGGTTTGGAGGCTGGTGAATTTTCATGAGTGATAAACAATATGATGGATCTAATATGATAATCAGAAGATTTATTTTATTTATTTTCCTGTTTTTTTCTCAGCAGCAGCAGCAGAGCCGGTTCTGTTCTCAGCAGTCAGAGTTGGTGATGAAATCACTTTGCCTTGTGAAAATGTGAACATCATCAGGAATCACTGTGACAGCATCACCTGGATGTTCATTAATAACAGCAGAAAAACATCAACACTGTTTGAAAATGGAAAGATTCATGAAGCTGCAGCAGCTAAATCAGACAGACTGAGAATTACATCAAAATGTTCTCTGATTATAAAGAAAGTCTCAGATGATGATGTTGGTCAGTACACCTGCAGATGCTTCATAAATGGACAACAACAAGAACAAGACTCTCACAATTTTCTGTCTGTTATTCACAGTGAGTTTTATATCACGTTTATCAGAACAAACCGTCCAACCACAAACTAAAACACTACAAGAAAATAATTAAACTATGTTTTTCTTTTCAGTGGTTGAACAGAAACAGGAAGATAAAATCATCTTGACCTGCTTTGTGACAGATTTTATCCACTACAGACACACAGTGGAGTGGCTGAATGAAGGTAGAGAGGAAACTTTCTCACACATGCAGAGATCAGATCAGTTCTGCTCTGCTAATGTAACGATTCCAGCATCTGACAGAAACTTGAAGGAAAACTTAAAGTGTAAAGTTACAAATAATTACAGTAACAAAGTGCAGCTGTTTGACTTCAGGATTCAGACCTTTGGTGGAAAAACAGGTGAGAATATTTTCATGAACTCAATTAGAAAACAATAATTTAACAATTTAAGTTACATTATAACAATGAATTGTTTCTTTATTTGTTTTTATTGTATTTTCTCTGATAAAAATTCAACAGCAAAGACAACGACCACCACACGACCACCTAGAACTACAACAACAAGAAAGTCAACAACAACAAAGATGACGGCAACAAAGTTACCTGCAACTACAACAACTACAACAGAATCATTAAACAAATTGACACTTATGGCAATTAATTCATCTACAAACATCAACTTATCAAAACCTGCAGGTAGAAACTGAATCTCTTGAAACTCAAAGCCTCAATATGTCATCAATATTTCATGGTTTGCTGAAAACAATGATAATAACTAATAATTGTTCTATCAGGATGGGTTTGGTCGCTCGTTTTCCGTCCTGTGTGTTTGGCAGCGATGATAGTAACTGTTCTGGTCGTCACCAGATGGACGAAAACTAAAGGTGGAAACTTATTTTCTTCTTTGAAAATTTATTTTGATGGTGAAAAACTTTAAACGATTGAAATAATAAACAAAAGTAACAATCATGTTGTTATTTTACATAAACAAATCAACACTGATCAATATTCATGTATATAATGATGATAAGAAAATGGAGGAATGAGGTTTACAAAATGTTTTTCCTCTTTTCAGGACATAAAATAACAGAAGAAGAAACTGAAGTAAGTAAATAAGTGAATCATAACTTTATTATCTCAATAGAAAAGTCAGAATTTAATTGAAGAATGAAATAGAGCCTCAAACATGTTTGAATGGATAAAATGTTCGTAATTGAAATAATTAATCAGTATAGTTATGTGCTCCATATTTACCAACTCCACTGATGAAAAAATATCTTCAAATAATCTCTGAAAATTTTGGAAAAAAATAAAATAAATTTTGGAGAAGTTTATTTACATTTCTATTAGAATAATTTACTAATTTAAAGTACCAATAAATTATCTGACCGTCTAAATTTAAGTGCAGCAAAAACTAATTTCATCCCAAATGGTAGTAAATACAAAGTTCAGACAAACACAGCAATAAGCCTAAAGTTACAAAATATTTTAAATTAAATTAATTGTTGAATGCAAAGCCCTGCTGTGCAGAAATAAATCATCTTCAGAAAGCTAACAAGCTAAACTGATTTAAATGAAGTGTAGACTAGGATTGTTAGTCCAACTAGAGCATCAGAGAAGTTATTTAGTTGTTTTCTGTGCAGAATGACTCTGAGGATGATTTCACAGCAAAGAGGCCAAAAAGACCAAGAAACCAACCAGAGTGAGTTCATCAGTTTAACGTTTCCTTACCTCATTGTGTCACTATTATCTGCTCCTCTGTGCTTTCATCATGTAAATAATTTACCTTGTTTAAAGAGAACGTAGGATTTTTCTTATTAATAATGAAGCATATGCTGTTCTGGCTTTATTCAATCTCTTCTGTGCAACATAGTGTCTGTTATAGAGCAACATGCAATTTGTGTTTCATATATTTACCAGCGAAAATATTGTCAGTGAAAAAAGTTCAACTTTAAACTATTCACTATATAGTCTTTTCAATTTGTGAACTAACAGCAAATGTGCAAAAATTATTTAATCATGTTTTTCTGTATTTGTTATGTTTCAGATCCTTGGCTTCTTCTGCTTCAGTCGATCCAGACAGACTCTACTGTAACATCAGTGAATAAATGACATTAAACTGTTAAATTATTTTCAGGTTAAAGAAGAAACATGAAACAGTTTTAATCCAGATTAATCTGACTGGTAGCAGATTGTTTTCCAGAGAATCAATTTGAATCACCACTGCTCACTGGAGCCCTCTAGTGGAGGAAAGCATGAGACCGAGACTCATTGTGTATGTGGTGCACTGTTTTATTAAATGTAACCTTTTTTGTAAAATATATTTGAATAAAATTAAAGGTTTATGCACCATCTCTGTGAACCTTTTATTGGCGATGATGTACGTCCTTCTATGTTTGACCACTATGGTATGAATATCTATGAACTTTTGTGGTTTGACACGTGGAGAATGAAATGGCTGCTGAAGGTTTCCATCATGTCATGCATGTTAGTTTAAATCTTCACCCAGCAGCTGCTGAAGCTGCAACACTTAGATCAGCTCTGATAGAGACAGAAACTAACACCTCATCAACAGCATCCTGTATCTCATGATCATTAATGTCAAAGTCTATCCTGATATGGCAGAAACAAAATGTCACCATTAACTCTCTACAGTTACACATGTTTCTATAGCTCTAAATGTAGAGCTATAGATTTAAATTTTGATCCAGTGGAAAAGTTTAGTCCAAAACTGTTGAAAAACAAGATTTATAATTCATGCAAATACTAATCTATCATATATTTTCTGTCTCTGGAGGGATGATCTGATTGGCTCGTTTAAATGGAAAAGGCGGGGTTTTAAACAGAGATTAATTTTTTTCATGTAGCTGCTGCTTTTTGTGATGACTGGAAGTAAATAAACAGATTTTCTTGCGGTTCAGTCAGACTGGTGTCTCTTCCATAAAACGAGCTACAACTGATGATCAGAAAATCTTAACTCTGATCAGAAAATTAAAGGCAATTGTATCTGCATTATCTATAACTACTCAAAGACCTTTTGGAAACATATCTAAAAAAATAAAAGTTCTAATTCATAGTTTGTTGTTTTCCAGGGTAAAAGGTCAAAACAAGAGAAAGAAAAACCCTCAAAGCATCAGCTTCTATTCATAGCTTTGTCTGCTTAGTGAAACTAACACCTCACTTACCACAGATATAAAAGCCAGAAAGGCTTGGAGTTGTTTTTAAAATATATTAAAATTAATATGTATGTAAAAAAAAAAGAAAAGAAAAGAAAACTAGGAAAGAAAATATTTGCACAAATGATCCAGTTACAGCTGAAGTTAAGTGTTTTAGGTTTTTTGATGGTGAAAAGATCAAAGTTCAGATGTTGGACAGAGCATGAAGTCATGATGAGGAGGAAACGCCTCTCAAACCACAGAGCCTCATATTTCACATGTTGCCTCTTTAGACTCTCAGTCATTTCTGATTGTCTGCCAGAGACAGAGGAGCGATGATCACTGCTAGAGAGACACAAACATCTTTATTTGTAATGCTGATGCTTTACTTAACAGGTAAGAATATTTTAATTTCTAAAGTAATTAAAAACTGATTTAATAAGAACTAAATGGTTCCTTTTCTCAGACGCTCATGTTTATTGAGGTTTGGAGGCTGGTGAATTTTCATGAGTGATAAACAATATGATGGATCTAATATGATGATCACAATAACAGAGAACAGAAGATTTATTTTATTTATTTTCCTGTTTTTCTCTCAGCAGCAGCTGGTCAAACTCACTACTCAGCAGTCAGAGTTGGTGATGAAATCACTTTGTCTTGTGAAAATGTGAACATCAGGAATCACTGTGACAGCATCACCTGGATGTTCGGCAGTAACAGAACAACATCAATACTGTTTGAAAATGGAAAGATTCATGAAGATGCAGCAGCTAAATCAGACAAACTGAGAATTACATCAAAATGTTCTCTGATTATAAAGGAAGTCTCAGATGAGGATGTTGGTCTGTACATCTTCAGACGGTTCATAAATGAACAAGAACAAGACTTCAACATTATTCTGTCTGTTATTCACAGTGAGTTTTATATCATGTTTATCAGAACAAACCGTCCAACCACAAACTAAAACACTACAAGAAAATAATTAAACTATGTTTTTCTTTTCAGTGGTTGAACAGAAACAGGAAGATAAAATAATCTTGACCTGCTCTGTCACAGACCTTATCCACTACAGACACACAGTGGAGTGGCTGAATGAAGGTAGAGAGGAAACTTTCTCACACATGCAGAGATCAGATCAGTTCTGCTCTGCTACTGTAACGATTCCAGCATCTGACAGAAACTGGAAGGAAAACTTAAAGTGTAAAGTTACAAATGATTACAGTAACAAAGTGCAGCTGTTTGACTTCAGGATTCAGTCCTTTGGTGGAAAAACAGGTGAGAATATTTTCATGAACTCAATTAGAAAACAATAATTTAACAGTTTAAGTTACATTATAACAATGAATTGTTTCTTTATTTGTTCTTATTCTATTTTCTCTGATAAAAATTCAACAGCAAAGACAACGACCACCACACGACCACCTAGAACTACAACAACAAGAAAGTCAACAACAACAAAGATGACGGCAACAAAGTTACCTGCAACTACAACAACTACAACAGAATCATTAAACAAATTGACGTCTATGGCAATTAATTCATCTACAAATGTCAACAATTTCTCCAAAACTCCAGGTAGAAACTGAATCTTTTGAGTCATAAAGTTTAGTCTTAATCTTAAACTTTCTTCCAGTTATATTTTAGTCTTTTTATCAAACAGTGATGCTGCATAAATGATATTTCTTCTTTCAGGTTGGTCGATGTTTTATATAATCTGTCCTGCAGTGATCATAGTAACTGTTCTGCTGATCATTGGATGGAAGAAAACCAGAAGTGAGGAAAACATTTTTGTTGTTTCAGCAAACTTTACATTTAAAATTTGTATTCAACAAACACTGAATATGTATTTTATTGTTATTTTTTTTAAAAAAAACAGTCTTACACACATCAACATCAGTCTGTCTTCTACATGCTGACCATTAGAAAACAGACAGAAAATATGTTTTTAGAGCAACAACTGAACCAAGTTACTCTTTTATTTTCTCAGAAAATAAAACAAAAAAGGAAGAAGAAAGAAAAGTAAGTAAATCATTATATTGTTATTTCAAAAGAAAAGTCATTTTAGTTTTTAACTTTAAACTATTTTAGAAACAATTGTCCTCTTTGTGTTGGTCAAAATTGTGGTTTTTTGAAGGAATTCATTTTTAAAATATAAACTAAATACAGTACAGTGTGTTATTTATTTTATTGCATTCTGTATACAGACTGATCCTGAGGATGGAGTCCATTATGCCAAATTCATTCGGACCAAAAAGACCAAGGAAAAGCCAAGCGTGAGTCGTTTCCCTAAAAGCTGCCCTTAAGTCTCAATGTGTCATAAACTAATGTGTAATAGATTAAAAAGAAACATGTGCTACTGATAATTACTTACTAAAATCTGTAGCATGTTGGTTTGTAATAAATGAACAAAGGATCATTAAATTTGTGATAAATAGGGATTTTTTCTAAACAGGTGTATCTTTACTTTTTGGTGATTTTCTTTTCAGATTCCTGACTCTGTGACATACAGCGCTCTGAATCTATCGTCTTCTTCTTCTGCTCAGCCTACCATCGATCTTGACTCTCTCTACTCTGCAATCAGTAAATAAGTGAAATTAGATGTTTAATCTCGATAAAAGTGTTTTTGAGATCATCAATGAGCGCTGAGGCCCTCTAGTGGAGAGAAGCAGGACATGTAAATTCTGCAGAATTCACCTTTTTGTTAAATAACAGCAAAATTGAAGGCTTTTGCATATCTGGTAATAGTTTTGTTAGACATTATTTCCAAGGTCTATGTTCTTCTGTGCTTTAAAGTACATCATGTTTGACTATCATGGTATAAATATCCGTGAACTTTTGTGGTTTCACACTTTGAGCAGAAAACAGATGCTGAATGTTTCCATATCATCAGACATGTTGAAGTTTATGTCTTAAAAAAGAATCCACCAGACTAAAACCTTCCGCTGCTAATGTTGCAACACTTAGCTCAGCTCAAAAATAGACAGAAACTAACACCTCACCTACAGCAGATGCACCTACATCATTTAAGTCGTATGAAGTGTCAAATTTATTCTTATGCACATGAGAAAAAACAAAGTTTTCCAGTCGTGTATCATCATCACACAGGAAGATCTGCTTCTGCTGCAAAAGCCTTCCACCTTTTACCTCATTCTTTTCTACATTTTACATGTTTTGCTCCATATTTTGAGTCCTGCATTTTGATACTAAGATAGCCTAGACATATGGTGTGTAGCTTTTTTTATAGAACAAATAATGGCAAGATTATTTTAAAAATGCTTTTGAACCCAGAGTGAGTCACAGTAAATGATCACTAACACTGATCCTGGTTCTGATGGCGATTCCTTCCTGTTAACACAGAGTCATTCCTTCCCTCTGTCGCCTCATGCTTGATGCTGCAAAATGAATGCTGACCTGCTTATATTATTTAACCAATCGGCTTTATTGAGTTTATGTTCCTGCTTTGTATTATAACCAGGACTGAACTGGAGTGAATGTAATTGGATCTGCCTCTAAAATTGTAAGTTATTTGACCATATTTGTGAAAATAAATGGGGGATTTATTTCTTTATTGTGTAGAATATTGAAGATATTTGCTGGAAATAATCACTGCTGCATAAGAAGCGAATATGTAATATTTCCAATGCTACTCATAAAGTAATAGTGATAAATGATCTTTGATTAACATTCCTGAATATTTTTTCAAATGTTGATTAATCAAACCTTTTTTCTCTATTTATAACTTTATGCTTGGCAGTTAATTAACAATTAGACAGAAGCTGAATGTTTGCATTTAGATTACTCTGATATGAACAAGATTTCTGCACAGAAAACATTTGAGTGAGGAATAAAATCTTTCCTTTGGTGAAAAATGTGCAGTTAGTTACAAATCTATACTGAGATTTAAAATATTGTTTCCATACAGTGTGAAAACAATACGACAAATCTTCTTGATTCAGTTAAATATTTGACTTTATATGAAAATGAAGCAGATCAAAATTGTTGCACCCTATTCAGTGCCCCCTATTACCACTGGGGGTCGCTAGAGATCCTTCATCATGTTTCTGCCACACTGTGTTTATCCTTTTATTTAGAAAACTAAATACGTGTTTACCACTATCTGACAATGAATCATTCCTGCAAATAGTAAATAACGCATAAATATCTGTTTGCAGACACACATATGATGAAAGCAGCAGCAGCAGATTCATTGTTTACTCTGGTATTTCTCTTGAAATGGAGCCACATTTTCATACTTTTGACATTAGGATCATTAGTAAATCAGACTAAAGGATATTTCAGCAACTTCCAGGAAAAAAGTAAAAGAGAAGACCCTGGAGGAGTTAACAGTAAAAAAATATCAAAAATAAATTGAAGAGAGATGTTTCAAAAATGAAGTCAGGAAGAAAAATATATTTGAAAGAGTTTTATTCCAATAAACTAAAGACTCTTTTTCAAATAGGAGAGGAAATGCAATAAATTTCCTTCAAAGCTGTAGTTACACATACAGGCAAAAATTCAAAAGGTTTTCTGAAACAGCTTGTTTTTTTTACTACGGATTCCAGACAGGCAGCAACTATTTTCATATATTTCAGGAGCAAGTGTTTAATTTTAAGTTTTATTATTGTTATAAAGTTCTAGTTTTAAGAAAGAAAAAGTGAAATTCAAGAAAAAAAACACACAAAAAATGTGTTTTCTTCCTTTGAATTTTTTTTTCTTCCCTCTGGTTCTTTAGAAAGCTCGCTGTGCTCAATCTCTAACATGGACGTCTGCAGACATTTACCCACATTAATTAGTGTGTGTGCATGTGTGTGTGTGAGACTGTGTCTGGTTCTGTGCAGGGTAGCGTTCAAGCAGCTCAGGACAATAGCCTGTCAAACAAAGTGATTCTGCCTGAGCGCCGACCCCCTGCTGGGAGCATTCCTCACACAACCGACGGTGCAACTCCTAAAGGCCACGAACGGATCAAAATGTCCAAATTCCTGAAAACAATCATGAGTCAGTCTGAGTCTGATCTGACACAGATTTAAATTCAGTAACACCCAAAAAACTGACCTGAGCTCAAAGTTAACTGTAGTGTTTACGTTTCCCCACTAAATAGATTTATTTTCTCACATTGATCAAAGCAGAATTTATATAAAGATGAATCTGCTCCTCTTAAATGTAAATCTGTTTTGTTTTTCTAGCGTATATACATCCACGTGACTAATAAAAAGAATAATTGCATCATTAAACATGCAAACAGGCTAATTCAATTTTTATTTTCTGCAAAACGAACTTGACCCAATTTAACAGCCAATCACAGCTCAGTTAAAATCTCCTGAGCCAATGCGATGCTGGGCACCGCCCACATGTGTGCATAATAATAAGAGGCAGGATGATAAGTGTGTGGAGTGAACCTGAAGAGTTGCTGCTTGCTCAGTGTGCTGTGGAGATAACTGTCCCCTGCAAACCTTCACCATGGTCGACGCCTTCTGTGCCACCTGGAAACTGGTCGAGAGCGAGAACTTCGATGAGTACATGAAAGCACTTGGTGAGTCAGATTCTGTCTTTTTTGATACTTATTGTGAGCAAATAGAAAATAAATCTGCTTTCAGGTTATTTTTGAATGCAAACTGCGCATTTAAACCTAAGAGCTTTAACAGAATCTCATAGCTGTTTCTCCTGCTCAGGTGTGGGCTTTGCCACCAGGCAGGTTGGTAACGTGACCAAGCCGACCGTCATCATCAGCCAGGAGGGAGACAAGGTGGTGATCCGCACCCAGAGCACCTTCAAAAACACCGAGATCAGCTTCACGCTGGGGGAAGAGTTCGACGAAACCACCGCCGACGACAGGAACTGCAAAGTAAGACCCAGAAACAAAACACACACTGCTGGAGTCCATGCTATCACTGCATTAGTCACAGTTAATGGAAAAATATTCACTGCCTAAATATGAGCAACTGCAGCAAACAAAAAAACTATTTATGATTAATTTAAAGGATTTGAAAACAGGCGTAAAACTTTTCTGCAAACTAAAAAGTTTCAAATTTTTTACAACTGAGTGACAATTAGTGTTAGTTCATCAGAAATAATGTGATTTTTATATTTGTGCAAATACTTCACATCTTAAACTCTGCAGAGAACCCAGCAGCTTCATTCTGGTTTAAATGAGGATTTTTTTTTTCACACTGTAACTCTTATTTTGTTCCTTTTAGTCCACAGTGTCTCTGGATGGGGACAAACTGGTCCACGTCCAGAAGTGGGACGGCAAAGAGACCAAGTTCGTCAGAGAGATCAAAGACGGCAAAATGATCATGGTAAAAGAAACACAAGCAGTTCATAAGCATGTGGACTTTTATTTGTGGCTCAAGCAGAAAAATCTACCAAAAAAAGCTTAACAGAAATTTTTGTAAAAATGTTCATGGTCTTCTAAACACTGTGAATTGTTTTTCCATGAAGAAACAGTTTATTAAATATTGGAAATATGAATTAAGTTATGTGCACAAATTAATGACATTTAAGCTCAAGTAGAGCAAATCAATTGGCAGCAAAGAATAACATTAAATATTATCAAACATTCTTCCTAATTGACTGCATTTAAAATTCATTTTTATGATTGTCTTACAAAGTGTATTGCAAACCAAAGTTTTTGCAAGTAAAACTATCATTTTGTTTGTTTTGTGCAGAATTTGACCTTTGAAGACGTCCATGCGGTGCGCACCTATGAGAAAGCATGAGAGCTCCACCTGACAGCCCCACGATCCGGCCAACCCGCCTGCATTTTATAATTATTGTGGACTGTTTGCTCTTTGCACTTCATTCTCCTCCACATGAAAAAGATCTGCAAGCTGCACGTGTTTTGTAAAATGTTTTTTTATATGAATACATTTCTGTCATGACAAATGGAACGACTTTGCAACTCTGTGTAAGACATGAAATAAAGAAATAAAATGTCTTGTGTTTTCATGTGTGCATTGCTTAAAATGAATGATTTGATGCAAATAGCTTACAATATTGCGCATCATATTTTCTCCATGAGGGAATAAAGTTAATCCAATAACAAAAACACAGAATGTTCTCATTGGAAAACAATATTAAGCTGTTTTTGTAGCACATTTTCCAAGTGAGAGCTGTTCTTAAATGTGAAGCACTTAGAGAATGTTTAACGCCATTATCAGCCACACCCTTAGATATAAAGAGGATGTGGGTGAGGATATTTTCTGGGATTATTAAACTTCACGCATTGCATTTTAATTACAAACTTGGGGACATTTTGAATGAGTTTTGGCAGAAATGTTCCTCTGACTGTATTTATTCATGACTAAATGTTCTCCTTTTTTATTTCATTTAAATTTGACTATAAATCAGTCATAATTTTAGTAGAATATGTTATAATCCCAAACATAATCAATATTTGAAATGTATTTTTAAAAAGCAAAAAACATAAAAACTGGTTGTAGTACAAACTTTTTTTAAAAGTTATTATCCTTAAAGGTCTCTAATATCTGAATCTAACAAATATTTATTTATTCACACATAGAAGGAATTATTATATTTATTGAACGCTAGTAATAAAAGGTACTTTGGTAGCTACAATCATAAACAAATATTGCATAAAGAGAAATTACTATCTGGTTTGTTGAGTGATGTAAACACAGCGGGTGTTCCTGTTTTAGTCTTCCCCCTTCAGCTGATCAGCTGATCGAACTACTTCCTGTTTACTCCCGAGAAGTGACCGGCTATTTAGTGCAGCTACTGTACTTCTTTTAAACCGGTGTAAATGACCTAGTTTTGCTGTTTTCCTCTCATCATGACTCAGGTTGTTGGTTTGTTTCTGCTGCTGCTCAGCGCAGCGGCTCCCTGCTGCGCTGCTCCGACCGGAAGCAGCTACCTGTCCGGAACAGGTGAGCGGAAAACTCCTGTTTCTAATGACAGCTGGAGACTTTTGTCCATATGTAGAGGAGCACGCAGATCTAAGTGTGAAGGAGGGTTTAGCCTGTGGATATTAAAGTTTCTCTTTGCGGTTTTAAACGGGCTAAAACGCAGAGTTGCTAGCTAAACCAATAAAAGTGGATATTTATATAAATATGGCGATTCTTAGCTCATTACTCACGTGCCGAATTGTTAGAAAAGCTCTAATAATATGTCCTAAAAACTACAATCTGTTGTTGATGGTGAATATTTCATTCTAAAAGCAAAAATGTAAGAATTAGAAGAGTTTTAAACGAAGTTCTGCCTGAGACGTTAAACTTCCACTTCTGCTGACATAACATTGTAACTTTGACCAACTGTGTGTGTGTGTGTATGTCTGTGTGTGGTCAAAATAATGATGTTACAGCTCAAACTTAAATCATGTTTTGTTACTTCCTAACAAAACATGAAGACATTATTTTTTTAAAAGTGAAGTAGAGAATAAATTGCCAGTTGAAGTGTTTGCAGATAAAACAATGGGTCAGTAGGAGAACTAGGAAGTGATACGTTTCAGGATTTCATCACTGTCACTGTCTGATTGTTGTCTCTCATCATTTCTACTAATATGACCCAATGTCCTGTTTTTCCAGGCAGGTTCTGGCACATCACGGACCTCCACCTGGACCCCAGCTACCGCCTGGCCCAGGACCCCACCAAGGTTTGCTTCTCCTCCAAAGGAGCCCCCGCCACCCACGCCGGTCTGTACGGAGACTTCCTGTGCGATTCCCCCTACAGCCTGATCCTGTCGGCCTTCACCAACATGGCGCCGCTCACACAGCCAGAGGACTTCATCATCTGGACCGGGTCAGTACAGATAGAAAGTGGCTCCCACTGATGGAGGCATTTCTTTTTTATAGTTCTGTCCTTTGTGAGTTTGTGCTGAACACGGATAATGTTGATGTTTGTCAGCAGTAAACGTCACCAGTTTGCTAAAATAATCACATTCTGTATTTCTGTTGGATCTCACATAAACTTCTTAAAAACAGAAAGAAAATGTTTCTGGGGTTCTGGGAATAAATGTGGATTATTCTGAATGACTTAACTGCTTTAACATTTTCATGTCCATTACTGTGAATGAAGAGGTCACAGGCTCAGTGTTTAAGTTGTTTATTATTCATTGTAACTGGACCCTAAACAGCCAGTTTTCAGTCAAATAAAACTGCAGTGTCACATTTTTGCAATTAATATACACATCTGGGAACTTTAACATCTGTAAAAGTAACAATTCACCCTCCAACATTGGGAAAGTAATTAAACTCTTCAGGTTTCTGAAGTTCATGTGTAGTTAATCAGAAATGCTGCGTAGCTAAATAGTTAAAGATTTGCTTTATCTTAGTTTTTTTTTTTCTGTAAAGCCGCCTTTACATTTATACTGAAAAAGAAAACACCAGAGAACATAAACATTTTAAAAAATCTACATAACTGTTTTTATGAGGGAACTCTACTGATATAATGAGGAACAGAGAAAAATGTAATAATGCAAAATATCACTTCCTTCTGTATTGTCTGGATTGAGACAATAAAACCTCACAAAACCGCACAATGCCGTGTGAATGAATTAATCTGTAACAAAACATTTAGTACTTATAAACATTTATTATTCTGTTTATATGATTAAGACAGATTAACTCATTATTTTTTCTTTCTCTACTGATGTTCTGGTGTTGCTTAGAAAGTTTAGCTCAGCGTTTTTGTTTCTTTGTCCTGAAACAAAACTAAAAGTACCGTGAAGAGGAACTATCACATCCTCTTTGCTGCAGATAAAATGACCTTTGATGTACTCTGTTGTGTTTTTATAAGTTTAATGATTTAAGTTTGAGCTGTAAACCAGTTTAGATCAATTTTGCAGGTTTTTTGACCCAAACGGTTCATGACTTCAGCAGATCTGGCAGCTCAGTGAGTAGGTTTTCTTTGTCTCACAGGGACAGTCCGCCTCACGTCCCTCCAGATGAGCTGTCCACCGACTTGGTGATCCAGGTGATCAGTAACATGACGCAGACCATCACTCAGCATTTCCCCAACCTGACCGTCTTCCCTGCACTGGGAAACCACGACTACTGGCCACAGGTAACCAACCGGTGGTGATGACGGTGGAGCCCAGTCATCACCAGGCTGTGCATCCAGTTAGCCCTGAAGAAGGGGAAGTTTTTTTTTCTGAATTGGAAATCGCCCCACTCAGCTAAGGTGTTCCCCAAGGTTGAGTTTTGGGCCCAGCTTTGTTTGCACTGCTGCATTTTTTCACTTCACAACCTTTCATTGAACTGCTTTGCTGATGATGTACAGATTTATCTGCCCATAAAAGCTGGACTACAGTAATTTGACTGCAGCTTTACTGCAATGTCTCAGATGTCAAACAGTGGCTAAACTTTTATAAAACTGAATGACAATAAAATAGAGATTATGTTTTTTTGGCAGCTTTTTTATAGTTAATTAAATCCATACCAGAGATTATATTAACATTGTTATTATTAACATAATCAACTTTGATTTTGGTTATGTTTTTGTTTTAGAAGCCAGGTCAGATTTGGGCGTACTGTTTTCTCACCACGGCTGTATGTGCTAATCATTTAGGACCAGATGCCAGACTCCACTAACGACATCTACAAAGCAGCTGCTGCTCTGTGGAAACGCTGGCTGGAACCTGAAGCTCTCGCCACTCTCTCACAAGGTGCGTTAAAACCTTCCAGGATGTTTTAAATGAAGCTGCAGCTGGAAAATGGACCCAGCTGTGAAACTGAGCTGCACTTCTGCTTCTTGTTTTTATGAGATCCAGTTCAGTTTCACTTTAGAGCCAGAAACCAAAACAAATGTCATCTCAGAGCAAAGCAGTGGAACTGAAATCACTTCAGTTTATCAGTTCAGGTTGATTAGACATTCTGCATTGTTAAATATCTTTATCTTATTTTCATTCAGTAAACTTTTATAATAAAAATATGATTTAAAGTCAGAGGAAATCTGGTTACATTTGGTTCATTTCAATAGTTTTTCATGCATTTGGAGAATGGTTTGAAATACCAATTAGTTACATTCAGATTTTTTTTATTTCTTGGTGTTTTGCAAAAATCAGCAAAATTTTAGGACAGAAAATCAGCAAATCTTAAGTTTTGAGAAGCAGCAGTAAACCTGGTATTCGGCATCAGTGCACATGAAATCACACGAACATTTTGCAGTTTATACTTCTTGCCATTTGAATTTATTGCTTCTTTATCACTAATAAATTCATTCGTTCCTGCAGGTGGTTTCTACTCCCAGCTGGTAAAACCGGGCCTGCGCCTGCTGAGCCTCAACACCATCCTGTACTACGGACCTGATAAAGTCACCAGCAACATGACCGACCCAGCCGGGCAGTTTGAGTGGCTGGAGAAAACTCTGGAGAAATCTGCTCAGAGCAAAGAAAAGGTTTGAACTCTGACCTTAAAGCCGGTGTGCTCACTCAGTTTAGTCCCTGCAGTTTAACATTTTCGTCCTGCAGGTGTACGTCATCGCCCACGTCCCGGTGGGATACCTGCCCTTCGTCGGGAACACCACCGCCATCAGAGGGAGCCACAATGAGAGGCTGGTGTCCATCTTCAGGAAGTACAGCCATGTTGTTGCTGGGCAGTTTTATGGCCACACCCACAGAGACAGCATCATGGTGCTGCTGGATGAACAAGGCAAGAAAAACAAGCAGAGTGGATCTAAACTCGCTGAATGTATCGATCAAATTAAATAATTATGTGGCCACAGAAAAGTACATCTGTGACATTTGCATTAAATTGTGAATATTTAAATGGATATTTATGGTGTTGTTGTGACAGTTTATCTGGTTGTGTTTCTGCAGAAAATCCTGTGAATTCTCTGTTTGTGTCACCGGCTGTTACTCCCATCAAAAGCTTTTGGGAGCCATATTCCAACAACCCAGGTTTCCGCATGTATCTGTACAACAACAAGGACTTCAGTGTCATGGTAAGAAGGTTTTAACGAACTATTGTTTGCTTTTATCTCATACTAATAGAACAGATTTAATAAGCTTATAATAATACTCACATCATTGTTTTGGGAAATGCTAAGTCTCTTATTTTGGGGGGAAAAAGGATCTTTGACATCAAGATGAAGGTTTCTGTATCAACTTTAAAGCCAGGCAGTGAAATGACTTTATTAAACCAAATGAATTTGGCAAAGAGTGGAGAGGACAAAAATATAATTTATTGTAACATAAAACAGTTATAAGTTTGTTATTTTTGACTCCCAGTTCATTTCTAAATCTGTTCTGCTGAGCCTGATGCATAAAGACCTTCATACTGATGGTTTTGTTATTTTAGCAAAGGAATTAAGGATTTGTGGTTTATTTTTTCAGGAGGTATTCTAGCCTATTTAAGCTAAACCTCTAATGTTCCTTCATCTCTCTGTTTAAGGAGCGAAGCTAAATGTGATTTTATGATTAATCACGGTGCCGATCAAAACACAAAACCTGGTTCTGGCTTTGCTTTCTTTCTTTGTCTCCTTCTCTGCGGTTCTTTTCTGTCCCTCTGAAGGATATCTGGCAGTACTACCTGAATCTGACGGAAGCCAACGAGAAACAAAAGTCCGACTGGAGGCTGGAATACATCATGACCAAGGCTTTTGGACTGAGCGACCTGCAGCCGAAAAGTCTGCTAGAGCTGGGCCTGAGCTTCATGCTGCCGCAGAGCAAAGCCTTCGATAAGTACTTCACCCACTTCATGGTCGACTACAGCAACAGCATTGTCTGCGATGGGAGCTGCAAGCTCCACCAGGTGTGTGCCGTTCTCTACCTGGACCAGCAGTCGTACTCCAGATGTGCCGCCAGTGCAGACTGGTAGCAAGTTTATCCTCAGGAATCTAAACGCTTTAGGAAATTTTTGTATCTGCTGGAATCAAATAAAAGGGAAATGATGCCTTCACATCAGGATTTTATCCAAACTGGTGTTTCAGTTTTATGTCACTTTATGTTTTACTTAATGTGTGGAGAATCACATTTTTATGATCTGCATGGAAGTGCTTATAGTTTGGAAACAGAAAATGAAGAACTGATGGTTTTCTGTTTGACTTTTGGTTGAACTGATTATAAATAAATGTTTTTTTATGTTTTACAAACTGATTGTGATGTTGAGCAGCACAACAGTTGAACTACCTGATATAATTATTGTGAAGTTTGATGATGAATGTTTGAGTTTCATGACCAAAAACTTGTTGCATAAAACATGTCAGAATGTATATTTTAGTTTATATTCCTCAGCGCTTTTTAGATGGATTGATTTTGTTTTATTGATTTAAAATGTGTCAAAGTGCAATTATATAACTACTTTCTGCTGGATTCCCACAGTTTCTGTTTTCTTGGAAACTAAATCTAGTATTTAGAAATAATTTGGGTTAAGTGCAAAAAATGTTTCCAAATGAAGGATTTTTCTGATATTTTGAAAATATAACTACATATTAATGAATTTTAATTAAAACTGTTTAGCAGTCAATAAAGTTAGTTTAAATATTTGTTGAATAAATTATTTCTATTTTAAGAAAATAAATATATATATATTTTATTTTACAATTTTTATGTTTCTATTTGTTACTGGAAACATCAGTAAACCAAAAAACGAATCTTTCTCAATTAATGAATAATTTGTTTGATAAGTGATTGTATGTGCAGCTTAAAGATAAATAGAATTATTTACAGGTATAAATACATAATTTTCTGTTTTCTTGCACTTCATCATTACCATAAGAAATGCAGAGTTTGTCTGTGTTTGTGGAGAATTGAACCATTCAGTCAAATCATGTTTACCTGAATGTTTGTTTTACAGATGCCATGTTACAGTGAGATTTTTGTTATCTAAAACGGATTAAATGTGAATCAAGTTACATCTGTGTTTTAATACAATGTTTATAAATTTCATTTTCTGCTTCATCAAAACTAAACAATGTGTTGTTAGTTGTTGCACAACAATGGATTTATTTTGTTTTCTGTCTCTCTGAACAAAGAGAAGCATTTTAGCTACATTGGTTTATTTATAGATTAATTATCCTTGAAGAATTATAAATAAGAAAGAAAACTAAGTTTCCTCTAATTAACTTAGTGACCAGGCAGATTGGTGATTTTTACTCTTGCAGGATTTTTTTCTTACAAGAATGAGAACAGAAAGTAGAAATGTTCAGAGTCTGATCTGCTGTGACGAGACAGAGTTGCTACCTTCTTATATTGAAACTTATCACGTTTTTCACAGAGAGTCTGGGAACCAACGTTTCTGGCTCAGAAACGACTGAGACCTTGGAAATGTTGAAGATGGAGGAAATCCTCCCTGAGTTCACATGCATATAATTGTTACTGCTTTGTTCCTCCAGTGCACATTGTGTTCAAATGAGTTACTTTCCCAAATTCCAGTAAAAGACTGAGGAAGTAACAGTTAAAAGTTACAAACAGATGGACCAGTTTCCCCCTGTTGGAGAAGCAAAGCAACAGCAGTCAATACCAGTCGACTGACGTTCATTCCCTCCCACCACCCGATCTTATTCTTCTCTTGTTCAAACTTTCTAGAAAATCCCCCGCGTTTCTCAGCCACCAACTGAAGAATTTGACCCTCACCTCCTTCCCGTTACCCTCCCGACTCTTTTGTCCCCTTCGCCTCGCTCCTCTACTGTTGAGTGGACCTCAACCAAAGCTTCCCGCACACTGCCTTGTTTGTGTGTTCAGATCACCAAAAGCTGGACGGCAAAAACACAAAAGTTTCCCATCTTTCAAAAACACTTTCTAAAATTAATGTAATTCACTTTCTGATGGGAAGTAGCAACGGTTAGCTTTGCTGCAGCCATTTTTTATTCCTCAGTTTATTTTATCAATTAAGATCCATTTAAAATGACATTTAGGTTTATAACTTGAGTTACTACATGTTCAGATATCCTTGTGTTTAAAGAATGAACTACTAGATCTACCAGTAAATTAAACACACAGTACTTTGGGAGAAGATATTTTTTTTGGTCAGGAGTTTAGGAACCACTCCTGAGTGTTTGCCAGACTCTTTCCCCTCATGCGCCCCTTTGCCTTTATTATGCCTGTCCGTCCCCGGCCTCCCGGCGCTCAGTTCCTGTCCAAATGTAACCGTGGAGACTAAGACGGTGCGAGGAATGGCAATGCAGAGGAGTCCATCACCACAGTAACAGGAGCAGAGCTTCCAGTCATGTGGATCCATCGCTTCGCTCACTATTATTAGCAATCCTTTCAACTCCAGAGCAGGCAAACTGATGAACTGTAAACCGTGTGTGTGAGTAGATGAGATTCTGCTGCAGATTCTGATGGACTTTGAGCTTCAGAAACTCATGAAATGTTTGCTGTGCTGCTCTTTCCAGTATTTTATGTAGCAGCCAAACTACCAAAACAGCATGTTTCTTTATTAATGCATGAATGTTTATTATTATTTTTAATATTATTATTATTATTATTATTGTTATTATTATTACTGAACCTATAAACACAAATGGAGCTAAAATTGTGACAGATCGCTTGTTTTTGTTTGTTTTCCACGGTTCCAAACTTTTTAAAGCTCTAATCAGTGTCAGTTCTGGTTGTGGTCAATGTGGCTCACCACCCAGGGCGTCACATGGTGAAGGGAGGTTGCCTGGGTAACGGTACCTGCGTTTCCATTACAAGAGTGAGCAAAACTTTGTCTGAAGTACACTAACGGCAAAAAAACACATTTTTGCCATTGTAGTATTTTCATTAAAGAAACAGAATTAAAATCCCACCTGAATAAGTTTTTTCATGCAATAAGTCATAAAACAAAGACGCCATCATCCTCCAACGACTCCAACCGTGCAAATCTTTCTCTCACTCAAAATGATTTGATTATTCGTGGATTTCAGCTGTTAGGAGGTTGTGGGCTCTAATCCCACTGAATACCGGAGAACCACTGGATTTCTATTTAAACTACATAAATTCATTCACATCCTAATTTAAGCTCAGACAAGATGAATATGAGGAGACAGTTATTTGAAATGCTTCCAGACGATTGTAGTTTTGAAAAGTTTTCATTGGTGCCAATACCTTTTCCAGAAACAGGAGTAACTAAGAAAAGGTTTAATGTTTTCTAGTATTGCTGCCAAAACTTTGCAGTGCAAGAAATGACTGAATCCATTTGCTGAAACATTGTTTTCGGTTGACAGATTGTCTTGAACTGTCTGGCTGGTCTGGTTTGGCTCACTGACCCACATGTTCAGGTTTGCATAGATTTCTGCTGTTGTTCTGGCCGACTGGTGGAGGCCCACAGCAGTTAATCTGAGGATTACTGTCAGGACAGTATAACCGTCCAGCAGCCTCTCCTGGGGAGCAGGAATCTGTGTGTGCACGCTCCACATCACCTTTCACCAGCTAAGATAATCCCTTTCAGCATCTCTAGGTTTGAAGAAGTTTTAAGTTTTTAAGAAGCTTCTGCAGGAATAAAAAGTTATGATTCAGCAAAAATCCTTGCTAATCCACTACTGAGAAATATAAAAATGATGATTTTATGATGTGATTTGATTGTTCTGATTTGACTAGATGTAATGTTTATTGATTTTTCTCAATTGGTGACTGTATGGCATTTTTATGATATAAATCATTTTGAGTTGTCTTGTTGCTGAAATGTGTTGATATCTGAATTAAATGTCCTGTAAGTTAATTTAAATAAATGTTAACTCTGTTGATAAGACTTTTGTCTTAAACATAGAGATTCAAACATTGAGAATCTGTTGCATAGCTTTCTTTTGGACTTAGTGTGATAATTATCATACAATGCAAGACAACTGACAAATTAGAAAAGAAAATGTCAAAGTACGGCCAAGAATGATGCTTGTAGCGTCTGGCCAGAACCACGAAGGCAAAGAGTCTGATTCCAAAAAGAAAATTGAACTTAAATTAACTTTATTTGAAATGTTATGTTTAGTTGTCGAGGATTAACTCTCCTCCCTTTTCTTTTTTCAGATTTAATTTTGAATCTGAGATGCTTTGCAGTAACTTTTAAAGCCAGATTTGCATGAACTAATCAACTTCCATGATGTTGATCAGAAAATTAGATATTCTACCATTTATAATTTGACAAAATTAAAATAAAAAATACACTATTTCCTTGTCCTTTCTTTAATGTTTACCACTCCATCTTTAAATATCTCAGACAAATCATATCATGCTCTTTGAAGTGAAAACTCAACCTTCACTTCCAGGCTAAGTGAAACAATAACAATGCAGTTTTTCATAACTAAACCTAACTGGCAAAGCTCTGTTTCTGTTCGGGGCAGCTGAACATAAGACTCTTTCACAGCCGGGGTGTCCAGCGTGATATTCTGTCCCACAAGTCTCACACAGTCCATAATGGAGCGAGATGGAGACAGAAACACAGAGATGGGGGGTCTCTTTAGTCTCATGCTTCAGCAGTAATTTGTCACCGGCCATGAATGGCCGCCTTCATCAGTGAGGGAGACAAGGCAAGGAATTTCAGAGTAGTGTGTGTGTGTGTGTGTGTGGGGGTGTGTGTGTGTGTGTGTGTGTGTGTGTGTGTGTGTGTGTGTGTGTGTGTGTGTGTGTGTGTGTGTGTACACCAGAGGGGGTCAGCCTTTAGGTTGAAGTTTGCTCTCAGCCCATTTGTAGCCCAGATCTGTGGGACCACCATAGGCAGGTCTGCAGGAGCCAATCAGAGGCTCCCGAAGCCATTACCTCACTCTGGTGGCGACTGTGCCAACTTGGAGCAGGAGCCTCCAAACAAAATGCTAATTTAAGAAAAAAGAAAAGGAAAGAAGAAAGTGAGTCTGGCAGAAATACAGAATCCTTCAATATTTTATTTTTGTCTCATATCTAAAAGTCTGGGTTAGATATTTATATTCTGTTTTGACTAAAATTACCTGTGTTTTTATTGACCATATAATTGTGGAATTTGATATTTTGAAAATAAATTTGCTTGATGAAATCATACCAATTTTATGACTGCATTATAACTGCAATGAAAAAATTGAACGATCAACAATCGGATGTTACAAACAGCGCAAACTATGATGAAGATGACAGGAAGTGGTTGTAGGATGAAGGTGTTTTCAATGACTTATCGAATAAACTAACCTGTTCACACGTGATTTTAATTGTTTCTTATCTAATGGAAACACCACAATTATGTTGTTTGATATTAAATGAATAGAATATTGACAAAGTTTGGCCCAAATTCATCATAAAAACACAGATAATGTCTAATGTTTGTTTTGTTGATTCTTTCCCAACAGTCTTTTGATAATCTGACCTTCTTACACCAGTTTCTTCTGGTTCATATTATCCACTGTTTTTATGGACTCTGACCTGATAGCATCATTAATTAAAGTTTCACAGTGAACCAGCCATTCATCTTCCTCTTAGTGCTCTGAGAGAGATTACACACCTAGATCCCTCATTCAGCTGCAATCCCACTGAACAATATTGTGTTTTTTAGTCATTTTTTTATTTTCTTCATTCAACAATATTTGTGAAAAAGTGGCAACATGTAAAGGCTTTTATTTATTTAGTAAGTTAATTTACTTGTTACTGACTTTCTTCCCTTCTTACTTGTTTATCTATTTACCTTTTGTCTTGTTTGACTTATGAGGTGATTATTTAATTTGTTTTTCTGTTGGAGCCCAGGCCGGCTGGGAAACGGCACCAGAACCGAATTTCACCACAGACAAAACGCTCTGCATGATTACAGAGACATAGACAGAAATACAGACAGCAACAATTCAGTTTGAATAAAAATTTTATTTTTAAATTCTGACAGCGTCCCACAAAAGATTTTCTAGAATGGTTTATTGCTCAATGTTTTGGGAAGACATAATTTAATCAAAGACAGAAAGAAAAACCTGAATTTTAAAATTTT